TAGCATGAGTGACATCACGACGACGATTCCCCACCACTTCCATAATAACACCAATACATGCAATCTACATAAATCCAACATTACTTTTAAAGATATTACTCTCTATGACATATACGTATAACGTATATGTTCATATACATATATATAACATATACGTTATATATATATATATATATATATATATATATATATATATATATATATATATATATACACGTTCAAACATGTTTTATTTAATTCCACCAATAAGGTCTGTCTATTCAACCTTTCATTACATCTTTCTAGTCGGCGTTTGAGTCGCCGAACATTTAGATCTGATGGTCCAAAGTTCATAATTTTCTTCGAACATGGATATTATCCAGAATGTTGATGCTACCAGTTACAAAAGAAAGATATTATGGTTGCACTAATCTTAGCTCGTTTTAGAAATTTCGTCTACAGTCCGCTTCAAAATTCTCAACAGTCTTTTGAACAGATTTATCCCTTGTTGCCTGTTTAACTTTGGGTTTCCGGTTCCTTCTAAATTCTACTTTAACTCTATACTTCTAACGTCTCCGCCTAAATTCTATAATTTTATTTACTACTTTTTCCTTAATAGGAGCAGATAGGTTCGCCTATTGTCCGGTTCACACTCCTCCCCAGTTTTTTTAACAGGAGCAGTTGTTTTTTCCTTGTTTCCTTTTTAGAATTGGGTTTCCTTTTAAAGCTTTCTCGTTCGTTTTCACATCCATTAACACCTCGAGTCTTAGTAGCACGTTCGATTTGCTTGGGTTATATTGATTAAAAAAAAAGTCATATCGGAATTTTTGCGATAAACAAGTATTATAATATTTATTCTTATTTTTGGTTGTTATATCCACAACGTTTCGGCTGTTGTACTCTTCAGCCTGCTTCTGTTGTTTTTCATACTACTCGTCAACTTGGAATTTCGAAACCAACACATTATTCAATCTACAAGAATAAATTGTTCTTATTTCTCTTTACCTCCTTAGGAGACATTATCTATTAGGCCTAAAGTTTAAGGTTTCACAATTATATTAGTTAAGTGTCCAAGAGAAATATTGTTTAGTACAGCGCTTCTTAAACTATGGTTCATGACCCCATTTAGGGTCGCGAAACGTAATGCTGGGGTCGCGAAATTAAATTCGAACACTTGAATTCGCTGAGGAATCGACTGATTCTAACTTGAATTTACAAAAGATCTTTGAGTGAATTCTGGATCGGAGCTAAGGCTGAATTTCCCACAATTTCTGAAATGGCGCTACATGTTCTTTTGTCATTTAGTACTACATATCTATGTGAAACAACTTATTCAGCTTTAACCCTTATTAAAACCAAATATTGTTCAACGCTGAAAAATGTAGATGATTTGCGCCCAGAAATGTCAAATATTACGGCAAGTTTTTATTTGTTATGCCGCAACAAACAGGCACATCCGCCATTTTGATTTTTTTTTTTTTTACTTTGGTTTGTTTTTGTACTTTTATTTTGATAACTAATATAACAACTTTTTTTTATATTGTATATTGTTCAGCAAAAAAATAAATGATTTATGTATTTATTTGTAAGGTTAAGCTTCATTAGTTTCATAGTTAATATTCTTTCACACTCAGTAACTCCTTGAGTTTTAGCGGCTTTATTGCCTTGCTTGGAATGAAATGATAAAAAAAAGACAAACTCTTTTGCGGCCTCTTGCTTCAGTCAACTTTTATCTTCAAAAATTTAAATGCAGTGTCAATTGTTATCTTTTGTTTTCTAACGACTGTTCTTTTATTGTCCTCTCTTGTTCAATGGCGGACCTGTACTTTTTGGGCCCTGAAGCTTGAACTTATATGCAACGAGATTTTGTTGAAAAATTTACTCATTAAAATAATTTGCTTCAGGGCAAATCTTCCATAACTATAGGGTTAGAGGGGCAATGCGCTTCCGACGTTTTTTTTTTTTTTTTTATCTGTGGGGAAAGAGGTAGTAGGCTGGAAAGTCATCCATCGCCTACAAGGCCGCGTAAACGCTTTTGAACTCTGCCGAGGCTGGAAAAGTTTCAGTTCAGATATGAGAGCAATCATTTTTTGGTCTGATGGCATACAATTTGTTTAGATAATCAGCCAATCCATAAAATTACCATTAGCCAGTGTGATAGATTAAGCCTAAAGAACTAAAATCTTAAGAAAACCTGAAGAAGTAATGGATTGTCTTTATTATTATTATTATTATTATTATTATTGAATATATCATAAAAACCCTTCGGGAAAAGAAGGTTCCTTTAAATGAACCAATAAATTAGTTTTGAAAAGCGCGCGTAAATTTCAATTTTTTGGCTGCTCTTCTGTGTTTCTCTCTCTCTCTCTCCTCTCTCTCTCTCTCTCTCTCTCCCCTTTTCTTTTTTGCTTTTCTTTATTTCTTCCTTTTTCTTTAACGCTCCCACTTCGTTTTCTCACCATAAACATATTTTGAAATGTAATACATTCCTCTTTAAACATACAAGCCTACATACCTGGATATTCGTAAACATATGCCTCCCTTGACACATGCATATGCAAAAATATAAGCATACAATTATATATGTTTTTGTTACTTAAACGTTATTTTTAGAAGATGCTCGTATTTGAGTAGACGTTCTGTTTATTTATTGAACAGTATTTATTTTCGTTCTCCGGTCTGAATATTCGAGAAATCTTAGAAAAATATGCGCCTTCCGAAGACATATGGTTCTGTTGTTAATATTTCGGTCTCTCGCGTGGTACGACGTCATAAAACCGCTTCACAAATTTACAACCTGTGTCTGCTATTCCGCGACCGTTATCCTCACGTAGCAAACTTCTATGACAACATAACAGAATATCATCTTTGATGGTGAATATCTTTATTTATATGTCCATATAACCACTCTGAAGATGGCTCATGTGAGCCGAAAGCTTACATCAAGGAGCAACATAATAAAAATGATTCAAATGTTGGACAATTGTTTGGTTTTATTTCTCCCAAAATTAAAGCAAATATACGAAGCTTAGAACGGCTCATGATCAAACATAACAGACATTCGTTGTCTTCTATTTAACAATATATGTATGAATAATGATCTGCAGCCCCAATGCATATATATATATATATATATATATATATATATATATATATATATATATATATATATATATATAAATATAAATCCTTCCTGTTTAATTCGCTTTCTCTGGATTCTTGTGTAAATCTCTGAAATTTAATTCTACGAGTCTCTCTCATTTGCTCTTGCTTTTTCTGTCTCTCTTTCTTCATTTCTTTTATTGAGATTATTTATCTCACTCTTTTTCCCTCTCTCTATCTCTCTATCTCTATCTCTCACTTTGTAAATCTCAATCTCTCTTTCTATCTGTCTGACACACTCAAACTCATTTTGATTCCTTTCTAACACAATTTTAACTCTCTCTCTCTCTCTCTCCCTTTTCACTCTCCCATTCCCTCTCTTTCACATCGAATTTCGTTTATATTAACAACGACAACAAAAAAAGGAAATATTTTTTTTTCTCTGAAGAGGATTTGGTAAGATCTATTTTCGGCTTTTTATTGGAAAAAAGAAATCGCGAACGAAGTGTTGAGATTTTACCTTAAAATAAACCTTACGCCATTGTTGTGTTCAAAGACATTGGAGACCATTCTCCAGGAATCCTTTCTTTTAGAATTCCTTCTAATCAATAAAAATCCACTTTCTTTTTCAAATTATTTTCTTGCCTATAAATATTTAACTTCTTTTTTTCCATTTCATTTTTGTGTATGTGTGTGTGTGTGTGTGTGTGTGTGTTTTTGGGTGTCCTTAACTTTACAGCGAATCTTTCTTTTTTTGTTTCTTCCGATGAATTGATTTTATTCCAGAATAAAATATAATTATTTGGAATCCATGTTTATATTTAGTCCAGGTGCCCCGAATTAAGAATTCATTACAAGAAATACACACACACACAAAAAAGAAAAAAATGATTGCGGACGAAATATCTCCATTATGTTGTAATAATAGTGCTAGATTTAAAAAAATAAAAAAAGTTTCAGATAATACAAACTTTATGAAGACCGTTTCAATCATCAACATCTACATGGGTCATATATTGTCTAGTAGACCATTTCAGGCGGAAACAACGATTCATTTGTCTTCCTTAAAATAAATGATTTGCACATGAAGTTGTTTAACAGGAATTCACAAATTGTTATCTTTTAACCATTCTTTTGCTTAGAATATCACTGCCACTTATGTTCCGGTGTCCCTGCTATTTACCTTGAGCTGCTTGATAAAATCCAAAGAAAAATCAGCAATATGTCCTGATCTAGCGGCTTGACTTCAGTCACTTTCCCACCGACGTAAAGTTACCTCTCTATGTCTTTTTTATAAGTACTTTCATGTTGTTGTTTAGATGAGCTCTTCGCTATGGTACTTAGAGTTTTTTTTCATTTAAGCGCAGTACTAGACTGGCGTCGAGATCACATCAATTTTCAGTCGAACTGACTAAATGTAGCAGTAAATTCAGGGCTAGTTTCTTTTCTCACAGTTCTTGCTTGTGGAACTCCCTTCCGGCTCCATGCTTTCCTGTTACAAAAATGTAAATACAATGTCAAGAATCGCTATCTACTATCCTCCTGAATACTCTTTTCTCTTTCCGCTTATTATTAATGTTTCTGTTTTTAATTCTTCCACACCCTGTAACCCCTTGTGTCTTAGTGGCTTTAATGCCTTGCATAGAATGATACCGATTAAAAAAAAAAAATAAGACTAGACATTATTTTTTTAATAATTATAGTGATTCTCGAAGTATATCTCAGATGTGGAACAAAACCGAAAGAAAAAGGCACCCAGTGGGAATCGAACTCACTATTCAGTTGTAATTGTTCTAGCGATACAAGCTTGCTAACTATTACACCAACTCGAGGTGCCCATTTTTTAAATAATTATATCTACTCATGCTAAGACTTATGACACACTCAATGTAGATAGTCACTGGTTTAATTTAATATGCTTAGAGTAGGTGATGAAATCGCTCCAATGCGCTGTTAGGATGGTGCCGAGGCAACGATGAGGAAATCGTTCGAATAGGTATTACTACCCAGGATTCGACATTATATAAACGGGTGGCTGCACTATGGTTTTATTATTATTTGTAACGTTTCTCCCACCCCAGAAACGTTTGTGCAGGTTAGCAAATATTTAATTCGCCATGACAAATCGATTTCCCTATTCGGTCTGATGCTTAAAACACTAACATTTCCACGTTTTAGCTTAGTACATCACCGATGCTTATAAACGAGGCAACTAGTAAGAATCGATTTCACTATAGTAAATATGGTCTACAAGAAGGGCAATGTTCCATAGCGTAGCGCGCAAAAAGTTTCGGTTGTCAAACACGAAATTCATGTGATTTTCTTAAATAATTCAACCAGTGAACCATTCTTTGGGGATATTTTGAATAGGAATATTAACGGAAAATTTCGTCTCGTAAATTGAAGGTGGAAAGACAAATTTCATTGCACAAGAAAATTACAGCTTACTTTTGTCGCCGTCTCGAGTAAAAGTTAAGGTCCCTTCCAGAGGCACCAACGGTTGTAATTGTCCGTGTGTCGGAAGAAAGTAGACATCGCCGAGAATTATGTGGGCTTTGAATACCTGAAAAAGGCAAAATCACATAATTATTACTTATGTAGTAATACATACAAATATATTCACATATATACGTGACGCGATAAACGTTGACTTTGTGGAAGAAATGGAATATATATATATATATATATATATATATATATATATATATATATATATATATATATATATATATATATATATATATATATATATACAGGTAAGTGGAGAGCGAATAGAGTACAATTTCAACGTACAATAGAGGTAGAAAAGTAGAGAAAGTAGAGAAATATTATCTATTTTAAGATATTACATAGAAAACATGTCAAAATCATACACAATTGCAGTATGTTTCGATGCATATCAATGCATCTCATCAGGCAATTATAAATTACTTGTTAACTAGCCAGTAATTTACAATCGCCTGATGAGGCGCATTAGTACGCATCGAAACACGACTGCAATTGTGTAGTAATTTTGATATGTATTCGATGTAATAAACTAATATATATATATATATATATATATATATATATATATATATATATTATAACTTGCATGCTCCTGAAACGAAACCGTTATTTAAATTAGGATATATATACTTTTTTATGCGGATAGGCTGATTAAACACACTGACACACACACATACACACACACACACATATTGGCATACATCTAAAAAAGCCGGATCAGTAATTTTATAGCCTGAAACATGGATACTAGTAGAATTTTGGTGTGTAAGTTTTATTGTGCAAAGTTCGAAGAGTATTGTTCACTAAGGAATTAACTGCATTGAAAAATAAAAAGATTTAGTGTATAAAATAAATATTTTTCTATCATTACACTGTAGAATTATTGATACACGTCTGTGTATATATATATATATATATATATATATATATATATATATATATATATATATTACAATAATATTTTATTATAATAAATTTAAAAAATATATATTTTATAATGTATTATGATAAAAATAATATAATGATATCTTGCTCTACTTCGTGTCCTATACGGAACCGTCTTATAGCCTTACATGCTATAACATTTATGTCATTTGTTTACGTTAAGAGACGCTTCGAACAGATATGCGTCTTCGAGAGAAATCATGGAAAATTTGTTGTTTAAAAGCATTAATTTGACTTTGCTAGTCAGACGCTTCATCTGTAGCTAAAAGGTCTAGCACGTCAGACTATATGACGGTTCCGTATAGGATACTGGTTTGATACCTGTCAGAGAACAATATTTTCGAGAGATTCCTCGGACATTCAGGCCGTTAAATGTAGTTAATACTGTTTATTAAAAACAGAACATTTATTTAAATATTTGTATCTATAAAAATAACGTATAAACCTATATATATATATATATATATATATATATATATATATATATATATATATATTATAAATGGTTCTCATCCGTCGAGGTGTAGTTGAAATGCACCGAAACGAAGTTGCATTTTGTAGTGAGTGAACTATTTTTTGCTATATGATAAAATTATAATAAATAATTATCGCTCTACTATCGAGTCCTCTTTTGGATTAGAATTTATATATTACTTTCGTTTTCATTGCATCGGGTATATATATATATATATATATATATATATATATATATATATATATATATATATATATATATATATATATATATATAATCTTGTATATATATATAGTAATTTTCTAAGCATTGCTTAGATGTAGCACAAAACCGAAAGTATGGGGCAGGGCGTGAGAATCGAACGCACTTTCCAGTCGTTATTGTTCTAGCGCGACAAGCATGCTAGACACCACGTCAAAGTTCCCTTAACTTGTACAGGGTGTGATGGAGAAATTCTCGCCATTTTATATTTTTTAATTTCATGCATGTGTGTTGTTTGTTTTTGATTTTGTCTACTGCACAGTATAGTAGGGTCAGTTGGGCACCGTCTGTGAGAAAAAGAGCAACATGACGCAATTCACTCAGCCAGAAAATTTGGAAACGGTATGCTGTACTGCTTGGCATTCGCACCAGAATCTCCAAAACGAACATTTCAGAATATTTGGCTGTCAATCTGAGGACAGTGCAGAGGACTCGGAAAGAGTTGATTGAGCCTAATGGTAATTAAGAATGTACGGCAGCTCGGAAAACCCACTTTTATCGTTCTGTTAAGAAAAGAATTCTTCAGTTTGTTTGTGATGGCCTCAGACCTAATATGGAAGCCTACATCAAGTGACTTGACGAGGTAGTGCTGCTCTGGGTCAAGCGAGTGGCTGCTAGAAGAAACTATGTCTGTCAACAGGACTCTGCACCATAACGCACAAGCAGAAGTAACCATTCCTGGCTGTCAGACAATATCAGCGACCACATCACCCCTTACATCTGACCAACTATCTCCCCAGATTCCAAACCTCTTCCTTATTGTGTGTGGGGCGCAGGTTTTGCGAGAGGCCAACAAAACTCTTTGTAATACCAAAGATGAACTGAAGGCAAGGATTCTGGCAGCATTCACCAACTTAAACAAGGAGACCGGCCAGAAGAGTTGCAGAAGATTCCGAAGTCGCCTGACGGTCATGGTTGAAGCTAATGGCAATTTTATTGAATAAATTTACTATTTAGTATTTGAAGATATTTTTGTGTAATTTTGGTAAATATATCTGTTAAAATGAGATGTCAGTATTATTTTCATTTTTGCGTAATTTAGACGGCAATTTAACCATCGCACCCTGGTGATTTTATAAGTGTAGCTTAGATGTGGCCTAAAGTATGGGGCACCTAGTGAGGATCAAACTCACTTTTCAGCCGTAATTGGTCTAGTTGAGACGAGCTTGTTAACCATTACGACATCTCGAAATTCCCTAATCTTGTATATATATGTATGTATGTATGTGTGATCCCGAGACGCGGCTTAAGCGATATATTATTTAGAAGCATATTTTATCTTGAACTCCTGCCGAGTGCAGTACCAAATTAAAATTCCATGAAGGGTTCTTGAACGAGAGCCGTTTTTTTTAATTTTACGGCATTTTTAATAAGAAATTCAATATATGTTCTCGATATACATTCTCATATCAAGCTGCGTTATATAAACAATCACTTGCGTTTTATATTCCAACAAAGATGTGTGTGAAAAATAAGAAATATTCATGATGAATTAAAACAACATTATTAAATATATTTAAATACACATAACACAAAACATATTTGTATAATTCTACATTAGAATATTTTTTTATACACACCTACTTGAAAGATGAAGAGTCATATGTATCGTATGACTTGATGGCAAATAAATAAATAGCTAGACACTGATTTGATGCCTTTACGTATTTTGAAATAAATGCAAAGAAACATTTATAATAAAAAATATAGTTATTATTTTGAAAAAAAGTACAGCTGTTTTAATTACTCTAACTTTTCACGCAATCTTTTAACTAGCCCAGTCGGACAATCAACCTTTTAACGTCTTCAGTATTATTAATTTTGTATTTAAAGTACATGAAGGAATTTCTCTTTTAAGGTAAAGTAAAACATATATCTATTAATATCGCAAAATCGTTTATTTTCATACTTTAAATCAGGATATATTTGTATTAAGTTTTCATTGAGTTTCGGGACGGAAAATGTTTGCTTATTAACTAAAAATTAATTTTAAAAAAAAAAGATACTTATTATTTTGGAAAAAAAAAGATTACACCTTTTTTAAGCTATTACTCCAAGTAATAAAATTGATAATATAGGTACGTCCAAATTTTGTATCATGAACTGTTTTAAATAAAACCCAGCGAGCTTATCTGTGGTCTAGTATATATCTATATATATCTATATCTGTATCTATATATATATATGTATGTATTCAACCATGTTTCATTTAATAATATCGAAATATTATGTTTATTTATTTTTATAATAATCCTTTCTAGTTGTCTAATCAGCTTCTTGAGGTTAAGTTGAAATTAATCAAGGAAGACGCCGTAGTTTTTTACTTACCCATGTACTTTCGATCTCCTCCGAGATCATATTCAGGGATGTAATGCAATGACAAACTTATTGTAACCGTGACCTTGTGATGGTGATTTTTGAAAACACGCATGAACGCTCTCTGTTATAATTATTTTAGATTTTTAATTTATTAGTTGTAGCTGGTATGCTTCTTTTTCAAAACAAGCGTCCCAATATAAGGGAGCTAGCGAAAAATTGGTAGATATAAAAAATGGCCTTAAATGTTGGCTAAATGGAATTCAAAATGTTGCTACTACGCTCCAAATAAATTTGGTTCAGTGTTGGTTGGTTGATTTTGATATAGAGGGCCTCGCGAATTTAAAGTTTTTGTTTATCATTTTAGTGGTCTGGTATATTGGTATTGTCAACAAGTATTTTCATGTACATTGAAGGCGAACAGGAATGTGTCTTTAAATGCTGTGCATTTTTTAACCGTTTTAGAATGTTGGAAATTTTGGCTAAAGTTTGAGTTTTTCTTGTGTCAGGGCGGTACCGTAAATTCATACAGGAGAATTTAGCAACTTTTTGCAGTAAAAAACGCATTGATTTGGAAAATCTTGCAAAAATCGAATTATAAGAAAATTTGATGAGTAATGAATTTTTAAAAGAATTGTTTCAATTTTTTTAATTTTAATTAGAATAATTTATAAAGTCTTAAATCTTTTAAAATTCTGTATTAATTTTTACGTGTTAGGTAATATTGGTATTAAGTAAAAACTATATTTACTTATCATAAATCGAAAAACTTACTACAATTCAGCATTCAACAGTATTTTAAATATAATTTTGAAATGTTTTGGGATATAAACATGCCGTTTTTGTAAATACGGATGTCCATACATGACCTTATCAGAAATTAAGAGAGGTAACTCTAATAAATTTAAAGCCAAAGAACTTCAAATTCAATAAAACATTAGATTATGAAGAATATTTTGCTATTTTTTTTACGATTACAGGGTAGTTACAACTTTTAAAAAAGGTGCAGAGATTATAGTCCTCAAGTAAATTTTACAAATATGTCCCCCGTAGAAAAA